TTTGTGGCAGTGTTGGTTGGCAGGAATACATTAGGGCAGTTTACTGCCATGGACAACTTTTGAAGCTATCATTTGTTTGAGTCACCAAACTGAAATAAAATGCAATGAAAAAAAAAAAATAAATAAAGAAAAGCACTGCTTTACTCCCTCCCTGCTCGGAGTTACAAACAAAACTTTTCCTCTGTCCCCCTTTCTTCACTCCCTCACCAGCTATTTGTGATTCCCATTCTAAAATCCATAAATTAACAACAGCAAGAATCAGGACTTTCAGGAGGTAATTTGCTCAGATTTGGAAAGGAAATGCCATGTTGAAATCCTGGGGTGTAAGGTGGACATCTCTCCTACGAGGCGTTCATAGGAGGAATTTTTTCTTCCTGATGTTGTTGCTCCCACTAATCCCTCCTAGGACTGCTGGCGGATGACTGGAGTGACACACGTGCACCCCACGGTGATGACTTTCTTCTCCAGGCGGTAGGTGGGCCGGCAGCCCCGCTGCTCCCGCCGGAGGACGAGGATCTCCTGATGGATGGGGACGGAGTTGAGGCTGTGGTCCTCCTGCCCCAGGGGGTTCACGCAGCCAGAGAGGCGGCACTTGGCATCAGCTATCACCCGGGGAAAGCGGTTGGGGTCCTCGTTGAGGCTGGGGATGGGGACACGAAAGGGTTTTATGCACTTGCACAACACAGTTTGGCAGAATCTTCTTGTCTATCTCCATGAAAGCACCATACTATTTACCTGTCTATCCTCTCTATGAGACAAGGCCAAAGAATTTCCCTGTCCTCAACAATTTTAGAATGATTTCCTAGAAACGGAATAAATTTTGCGAGGGTAACACTACAATACCATTCTTTAGGGGTTGATGAATGGGTTGGAGCTAGGTGAATTACAGAACTATCACAAGCGGACCATTTATTTTTGTTTGGTTTTGCTTTCATTTCGACATTCAAAAATTTCTTTCAGCTATGAAAATGTAAAGTTACAATGTACTGACTTTTTTCTTAGAGTCATAATACTTTGACATATATTGATAAGATTATTAGAAATTATTCCAATGATGCCCTTTTGCACTGCAAACAGTTTCTCTTGGAGAAACATCACCCAGCACAAAAATGGAAGTGTACGTCAAGAAGTGTTAGCAATATTCACAGGACTCCAGACACATGCTGAGAACCAGCCATCGTTCACCACAAAAAAGCATCTGTGTAGCACAGTCATTGCAATTTAGAAGACAACTAAACAGTTACCTGTAATCCCAAGGAGCGAGAGACCGGTTCCTGACATCATGGGCCATCCTAAAGGCGTGATCTGAATTGCTGATATGAACGTCCACTTTCACTGTTGTAGGGAATTTGAGATCCTTTTGGTTCAGGCAGTCTTCACTAAGCCTCACAGAGCCACTGTCCTTGCTGGGTCGAGGTTCTACTACCCTCCCACGGGGTAAGCTCCTTACAGTGAGTGCTAGCACCAGCATCAAAAGCAGTGATCTGAACTGGAGAGAGAAAGGTGTCGTTGGCTCAGTCCAGTCAAGAGAGAGAGAGCACAAAAAGCCAAGTCTTGACTAGACTGGGCCATAGATGGACCATGTAACTACCAAGAGGAGAAGGATGCAGAACAGAAGCCCTGTCCTGAATTACTTCATCGCTGCGAATCAGCACTGGGCATGGGCTGATCTTCATACTTTTACTTGGGCAAGATGGGCCAGCACGAGTAAACAGCGTAGTGATGCTGATTATACCCATCACAATGGATGCTAAACTCTGATTCAAATTCTGATTCATAGTTGGCTCTGCACCAAGAAGAGCATCTCTCCAACAAGGTATGAAAGGTCCTCCTCCGCAGTCAAACAGCAGTGACTTCTGATCTACAAGGTGGGATAAGGACTCAGCTGACCCCATCCCTAAGCTTAGAAATTTAGTAAGCTAGATGCTTTCTCAGGACAGGAAAGGTTGGCCACAGAGCAGTCATCTGCTGGAAATAACCCTTTTATCAATGAAATCTGAGGTTCATGGGCCATTTCCAGGAGCTATGGTTTTACTAAAAGATGACAGATAAACGCAAAGCTTTTAATAAACTCACAAGGGCTGATAGTGCTGCAGATACTACCCAGGCTGAAATTTAAATGCACGGACATTCACTTCACAGTGAAATTTCAGCAATTTTGATAGCATATTTTCTGAGAAAAAGACTGTCTTTTCCAACCCCACATCAACAGTGCTGCTCTTGCAGATAAATAATCAATAACCCATTGCCTCCTCTTCACTCAAGCACTAAACACTTGCAAAAGCTCAAGACAGAAAGCTGTGTCAGGCAGACTTAGCATCCCATTCAGCTCCCACTAAAACCAAGAAGGGTTGCTTGTAGATAACAGCATCACTGGTTCTGCATTCTGCTTTTTCTCTTGCAGCAAATATATCTTAACACTTATACAAAATATAGGTACTTACCCCTGCAGCGTAGCAAGCAAAAGCCATGGCAGATTCCCTGCTGCTTTACGTGGGTGCACACGGTGAAGAAGCACAGGAGTTCTCCTTCCCCAAGACCTCTTCCAGTCTGTGTGTGTCTCAAAGCCAGTTGTGGTCTCCTTTTTATAGTGAAGTTCAACCACTATCACCCTTTCCATTGCAGTAGATAGCTGGCTTACCTGACCCGAGGTTAGGAGCTGATATTTCATTTTCTAGGCCACTTCCTTCCGTCTACCCTCAGAAAGGGGAGGGCAAGTACTATGTCATCAGAATCCTGAATCAAGCAATACAGTTTATTCAGGCAGATAAAGAGATAAGGAAAGAAAAGGAGAAAAAAATTCATCTGGGCAACCTTTTTTTTTTTCCCCTTCCCACCCCCTCTTTCTAATATTAATGTTCTCTCACCACAGACACATCTGTAGATGCACTTCCACGTGCCTCACACAAACCAAATGGCAGAGATTAGCAAGCTGCAAAGTCAGGCACCCAACAAGGGTTTCAAAATGAGGACAGGACATGGAACTTCACAGTTTAACCTCCCTTTGCTTCAACTGCACAATCCGCCTCCACCTCGTCTTGGGGATCCCTGTGTCCTGTGGTGACCAGGCAGGGGAAGAGTAAATGCCCAGGGTAAGTCCTCCTTGGGGACCTCAGAGCACCAGGAGCTGGGATGCCTTCCCCACTCAGTTCTGAGATCCTGTGTTGACACGCTCTGGAGACCTCTTTGAAGGACTCATACATAGGCTGTAAGGGCCCTGAGGGCACTAATTGGCCTTACTGACCTTGACCAGCATCACCGTGGATTTCCCTCCACAGCCCATCATCAGGAACCCTGCTTCAGTACAGCTGTGGGCCCCCAGTCCCTGTCTGAGCTACACTGTAGTAATGCTCATTTCCTGCCCCTTCTCTGGGCTTGTCTGCTGGATGGACCTTGGAGTAATATTTCTCCTGGATGGACTCCTTGGACATATGTGGTAGACCATCTCCATGGTCATACTGTACTGCAGTTTGTCTAGGTCTCCTCCGAGTGCCAGGGGATCTGGAGAAAATACAAAGTATTTCTAAACAGTTTTTTTCTCATTTTGAAGCGCCTGAAAGGACTGTGTCACCACCACCAGCACAGTGACTGTAGATGGTGATGGCGAGTCAATATGTTATGGTGTGGAGCGAGATGTGGGGGTAGCTGGGAGTGTAGGAGCCCCTCTGGTAGCATTGGAACTAACTCACTTGGAGCCTGTATTCTGGCAAGAAACTGGGAGGGTCTTTTGATGACCCCATGAAGATCTCACCAAGCTTGATTAAATCACAAATGTTTATAAAGCTTCAGCATGCACAATGTAAGGGCTTGGCAGAATTTAGCAGTGAAAGTCTGGATGGGATTAACTGCTCCTGAAGGATTTTCCCAATGGGCTATTTCCTCTGCTGTGTCAGTGTATCACACCTGTTCAATAAAATGCACATTTAAGCCCTTAGTGCGATGAGAAGGTAATGCTGTCCTTGTTTGGAGCTGCCAAATCCATTAGGTGCCAGTTCAGACCCAGCAGAGGCGAGGCTGCTACAGCTCTATGCCCTCATGTCTCTCCAGCAGCAAACCTGAGCACGGCTTCCCAGTAGGCACAAACACACGCACACGTACGCAATACGTGTATAAAATACACACATGCATATGTCAGCCACATGGATCAAAGTGGGCAAAAATCATCACTCAAGCAAACACAGACAGGACCAGTGGCGTCACCTTGTCCCCTTCTCTGGCTGGTCAGGATGAAAGCCTATTAATAGAAAATAGGTACGTATATGTACCTGTACATACATATAAGATGGATCTCTCCAGTTACTGGCCTTAGACCATCTCTCCAGTAGCTGTCCTCAGATCCCCCAGTCTCCCCATTGCTTCGTGCACTGACACAAACACATATCAGTGGGTCTCCCCAGCTGCTGCTCCAGACTTATGACCCTGCCAGTAGCCAAATCCCAGATCTCACAATATCTCCAGTAGCTGGTCTAGACCTCCCAGTATCCCCAGTACCCAATTTGCAGACCCTCTGGTCTCTCCAACATCCTGCCCAGACTTCTGGCTGCTTCAATACCTGGAGCTAGTCCAGCTGGATGTCTTTAGCATTTCCACACTGACATATGTAATCACAAAATACGCAAGCACACCAGTCTCCCCCCCCCAAACAAAAAAAGCTAAGAAAAATAAAAAGAAAAAACTAAGAAAAGGATTTAATAAGGAGACAGGGCACACTGGGGTTATCAGGCACAGAGCTCAGCCAGACAAGCGTACTGACCACCATCCCATTTATGTGTCATCAGCCGCTATCATCCCTCCTCTCGTTTTCCTGTTTGTTCCTCACTGACCCAGCATGATCCTTTCCTTAACTTCACTTCTTCCCCTAAACATCCCAGAATGTTTTGCGCAGTCCCAAAATGCCCTTCCCAGCATGTAGTAATGAGTCTCATACCCCTGTAGCCAGCAAAGTTTTGTGGGAAATATCTCCACCATTGACTTGTCTGGTGGGTTTCACATCTGGACTTGGGTTGACCATCCTCCTTGGACAGCCCTGAAAGAGCTGGGTCGGGGGCTCCATTGGCGCTATGTTATTCGAGTTCCTCCACCTGGTACCTCCTCTGCTCCTTTGTGTTTGTGGAAGATAATGGCTCTTAATCACATAACCTAACAATCCTTGTTTTGTAATTAGGGATGAGAGGCATGAAATTACAAGGGGAAGCAGGAGCAAGGACTCTGTGATCCAGCCTCCAGACTGCAGGGGAAAGACCAATGCACATGCTGTTCCCCAGAAGCACCAGCAGCTCTCTTTGGGATTATAAGCTATTTTTATTGCAGAAGAAGATCACATAACCAGTTTGATCAGCTTCTTTGTGAAGAAAAGCCCTGAGAGAAACCTCTTCCAAAGCCATGTAGCCAAGGTGGAAGAGGAGGACTGAAGCATAGGACTCTTCACATAAATTCCTCTTCAGTTCCCCAGAAAATCATATAATCACAGAATGGTTTGGATTGGAAAGGACCTTATAGATAGATCATTTCATTCCAAACCACCTGCCATGGGCAGGGACACCTTCCACCAGACCAGGTTGCCCAAAGCCCCATCCAACCTGGCCTTGAACACTGCCAGGGAGGGGGCAGCCACAGCTTCTCTGGGCAACCTGGGCCAGGGCCTCACCACCCTCAAAGCAAAGAATTTCTATATCTAATTTCTATATCTAATCTAAATCCACCCATTAAATCAACAGATTCATGGCATTTTCAGTCCTCCAGAATATCAGAAGCATCTTACAGATTCATATTATTTTCAAACCAGAAGGGACTAATCCAGTCCCTGCTTGATCGCTTCACTTGAATACTACCAGCAGAAACCTCCATCAACTGAGGCTTTATGTCACTGCAGAATGTTGTCATGATGTTGCGGTCTGATTCAACTGACAGCTCAGAGACGAGCAACTCATCTCACCTAAATTTTTCATATTTCAGCTTACGAAGTTCACCTGAGGTAACGTCAATTTTGTGACACATGTTCCTCTTCTGAGTGTTCACATCTATACATCCATGAAAGCATCTACTGAGACGTGGAGTGTGGAAGACAGAGAGGGTAGAGTTACCAGAAATCCACTTGTGTAGCCCAGAAACTGACCCCTTTTTTTTCCCCTGAGCACTCGTGGTGAAAGGAAGAGGTCATTGCCATGAAAATGGGTTGGATTTTGCAGGTACAGGGTTAAGTGGAAACTGTTACGTGCGATGAAGCAATGACTTCATCGTGCCAAATACGGGGTTATTAGCCCTGACCACCACTTTCCACTCATATCTTCTGTCTTCAGCGGCTTAGAACTTCAGCAAGGATTCCCTCCTTTTTGACCTGAAATTTCCTATGATTGAACTTGAGTTGAAGTTCGCTGAAAATTTGATCTAAAAGAGGTCACCTAATATGAATCATTACAAGGCAGGAAAAAATACTCCTTATCTCAGAAAGCTTTCACTCCCATGTTGCAAAGGCTTGAAGCAGGGAAGTGGACTTGGAAATCAAAGAGAAGTTTTCATTTCACCAAGCACTCTTCTATATTTGAGTTACTATATGGAAAACCACTGTTGGCACTGCAGGATTCATTACATACTTAGGTTAAGGTTTTCACAACACTGCAGGGGCTTCAGGCAGAAGATACGCCTCATTTCAGGTTGGGCTTGGATGCTGCATCCTTCTAAGCTCCTCTGAACATTTCAGCTTTCACACCTCACAGGAGGCACTTGTACCACCTCCAAGGAGAGGTGGAATTAAACCTCCAGATCAGACAGAAACCAAAACTACTCAAACGCCTTTGAACCTAGAGGAACAAACAATGAACCGTGACCTGCATTTCACTGACTTTGCTACCGGGCAAAGCAAGGGCTGTTTCTCAGCCGCATCTCTGCAAATATTCATAGCTGGTAGTCACGCTTTGATGACATGGTCGTTTTCTGCTTTCAAAGTAGGTGCCCCACCATGAGAGAGGGACCAGGGAGCCTAGCTACGGCTGGAATCCCTTATTAAGATATATATGGAAGTAATGTTTCTCTAGCACCCTCTGCCCCACCACCACACCGTCCCATGGATGGGGTCCATTGGACCCAGTGCCGGTGTCTGCATCCCAGCAAGCCACCATGATTTCTGCCATGAGAACAGGCAGCATTTTGGGGGCAGGTGTCTCAGCCAGCTCCGCTGAAGCACATCAGAGGACCTTCCATAGCAGAAAAGGAGATAATGGGGCTGAAATTGCAACCCCTGAAATCTCTGGGTGCCGGGGACAAATAAATATTTCAGAGCTGAGCTTGGTAGGTCAACTGAAGCACAAGCACAGGGCAAGGCTCATACCTCCAGCAGCTTATTCCTGCCTCCCTGGCCACCCTAGGTTTTCCCCTTCATGACGTGTGACACCATAAAATCACCTACCTTCTGTTTTAGCAAGCTGACTGTACGCACCCGCGCCTTCCACCAGCAGGGTTTGCTGACGGCGCT